ATATATTTGATACTTTAGAAGTAAAAATTCACTTCTGAACGATGCAAAAAATAAGATATACAACTCACTTAACACTAAATATCATCGTTATTAAAATAAAAAAAAAGACTATTAAAATAACATTTAATAATATGACTGAACGATGCAAAAAATAAAATATACAACTCACTTAACACTAAATATCATCATTATTAAAATAAAAAAAGACTATTAAAATAACATTTAATAATATGATAACTTTATTTTTAAATTACAGACAGTTTATGTCATAAACTAAGTCGTCCTTCAGGATACTCTCTATGTCTGATCACTTTTGGCGGTGGGATTTTCCGGTCTATCTGCTCACAAAAAATATTCACAGTTTTTTATGATTCTCCGTCTCTCGTAGCTATGTGCTTGACGTGACATGTGCAGGGAACTCTGTAGTCCGCAATGACATAACACATCTCTGGAGGTCCCTAAAATTCTCGAGCTCTTCTTTTTAGAATGCTTCAAAAGAGAATGCATTAGTTATAAAAGTATAAATTGATAAAAGAAATAATTATATATAGTTTTGTGCAGATATAAGGTCTTAGATGACTCAGTATATCAACCAACGAATTAGCCACTACAATAAGACAACAAATCTTATAAAACAAGAATTCTTGGTTGCCCTTAATCTACGTAATACCAAGCTCGTTTATCACACATGCATATCACCTTAAAAAGACCATCCAGAAGAACCTTAAAAACTGTAGCACCGAAGAGAAGAGAGAAACCTGATTTCCTTTATTAAGATTTCACATGTGACACAAACAAATACCGACAATCAGGTCATCCCGAAGTACCCATATAATCTAACCCCTCTCATCATGGATCTATCAAACCCACAAAAAGAAAAACAAAAGAAAGGAAAAAAAGAACCAAGCAGGTGTCGACCGAACCAAGCATTATTAAAGGTAAGGGTAGGGTTTTGATATATGATAAATATTTTAAAATTTTGTAATAATTATTAATTTTGTATTAATGATAATATTATGATCTAAAGCAGGGATTTAAGAAAGTTTGATTCAAATATTAGGTTTAATAGCTATTTTGATTTATTAATTGTCTTTGGATCGCAAATTTTAAAGAGCAAGCAAGAGATAAGTTGAGCTAATTGTTTATATTTTTATTTATATACCAATTTTAATAGCATGAAGTAGATTTTAATTTTATGAGTAGAATTGAGGAAAATATTTAATTTAATGATATATATTTAAAGTGAAGGGTTCATAATTAAGCTATGCATGATTGTCCAAAGAAGTAAAGTGAATGGTTAAGCTGTTTCAGATGCCTCTTGAAAGCAAGGTGAGTGATTATTGTCTTTTATGCATTAAATTAATTTTTATTAATTGAATAATTATTTTATTAAATGATTTAAAATAAGTATTTCATTCATTCTTGACATTTTGAAAGTCTGAAATGTTATTACAAATGAGAGGAAAATAACAGCATATGAACGTACATTTTAATGAATTTTAAATTGATATGAAATGAAATTTAAATGTTAAGTTATACAGAATTACTCTCAGATGGTACTGACAAGGGATGTGATGTACCTGTGCGCGTTAAAGAAAATCGTAAAGGTATGTATTCAGGTGCAATTTGAGGGTACCTACAGGTACATATTTTCGGGCATGTGGTAATCATGCTATATCTATTTAAAGAGGTTAAAAAAGTAAATACTTAAAAGTGAAACGGGAAGGGATAAAACTAAAGTTAAAGTTCAAGGTTTTATAAAATGATGAGCTGTATTTTTATTTGGTCATTCATGTATAGCATAAACATCATAATTTAATGTATGTGAATATTATAATTACTCTCTAAGTCAAACTTAGAGTTGAAATTAATGTTTTTTTTTTTTTCAGTACAAGAAAAACTTTAGGTTAATATGTCTGGTAGAAAAGATTTGATTTATAGGAATACTGCAACCGATAGGTACTAGTTATGATGTGTTTGTAGTTTATCTTTATTGTTCCTTCATATATTGATATACTTTTCAGTATTGGTTTGAGATATGATTTTCAGAGAATGTTGTTGTTTCTGGATGTTTAATTTTATTGCACTTGATGGATTACTCGCTCTTTTATATATTGGAAGTTTCTGAAAATTTTTGTGGAAAGTAAAAATGAGATGTTAACACTGTTTGATGAAGCAAAACACAATTGAATAAATAGGGTTCTTCAGTCATTCACTAATACATAAATAAAAATGCTTTTGTCGCTTGCAATGATCAAAACCATTGATGAAATATCCACGGTTGCATGCCCTTTTTAGGGGATGGATGAATGGATGGATGATAGCTTTTTACGTTTCTTTCCTTTTTTATCTAAGCAAAGTCATGATTACTCTGATATCATGCTTATGCCTGTTTTACCTTACTTCATCTAAGTGAAGTCATGGTTATTCTGGCTTCTGTGCTTTTGCTAAAGATACAGATTATATAATTATTGTAAATGACTGACAATATAATGTTCCATGGACCATACATATGATCCAAGCTCAAGCCTGTTTCTGGGTGACTAAAATAAATTGAAATAGAGAAACGAAACATGTAGTTGTCAAGTCAATAGACAAAGAATACTAAACAAGCTTATCAGATCTTGTAGGACCATCATAGATAATATATAGATGAAAATGACATTTTGACTAGTGTATCACCGTGTGAATGGTGTATTGATTCTGGGACTATGTTCTTTTGCTGCTGATTTGATTATCGTAATGTTTTATCATTGCTGGCATCCTATCTTACTGTGTTCTCTAATTCTGATCTTAAGAAGCGAATTTGCGTAATATATTCATAAATTCATAATAAATTTTTAATAAACCTTTTGTTTTCTTAATCTCCGAGTATTCAAAATACATCTTTTTAAAATTTTCAAGAGATTATTACATATTTTTTGTATATTATCATCTTATTACATTGAATAACAAAATATTGCTTTCTAAGCGGCACTTTGAGTTACCTAAACTAGATTTCCTTATATTTGGTTTTATATATTTTCAATTAATTTGTTCAGTCTTACAATTTTTAATATTCAATGCCTTCGATGTTACTAAATATTGTACCTTATGTAGCGGACAACATAAATAAATGGCATAGGATGATGCATAAAGTACATCCTAAATAGTTGGGGTAAAGCCAATGAGCATGATGATGATGTTTTCAATTTCTTAACTTATACTTTGAAGAGCAGCAATTTAACATAAATTTTCTCATCTTTGTTTAAAACAGTAATTCCTTTTTTTACTTTTCATATAATTGAGAGAAACTTATCTTTGTGTCAGTTTAACCCAGCACATAAAACCCAAAACATATATGTTAGTAATCACTAAAACCAATAAGCGCTAGTAGCTCATGGAGTATTGTTCTCACATTACAAAGGCTGAGGTGAGATGTTCAACTCCAATCTTGAGTGAATAATAATAATACAAGCATTCATATTTTCAGTTCCCAATTTTAAAATGAAAATTGTGTGGTACGTACAGATTCATTCTTTTTCCTTATTATATGCTTCCTTTTACTACATTTTATTTTGTATCAATTAAGATGCAAAACTAATTTAAGATGTTATTCTATTCATTGTAATGCGAATGGCTTAACCTATGACAGCATAAATATAATGATGCAATTTGTTACATGCTTTGCTTGTGTGCATTATACTTGGATTTATATTGTATCCTTATTTGAGATCCTATCTATATAACAAATTCTTTTCCAAAGGCTTTGTTCTATTCAGCTTTGCGGTGTGCTCGAGAAATGATTACCATCAATGACGGATCCAAGAAACTTGTGCATGCTATTAATAGCAGGCTTAGTGCCCTGTCATTCCATATTAGAGAGTATTATTGGGTTGACATGAAAAAGATCAATGAGATATACCGTTACAAGACAGAAGAATATTCGTATGATGCTACTAATAAGTTCAATATCTATCCCGATCAAATTCCTTCTTGGCTGGTTGATTGGATCCCTGAAAGAGGGGGTTACCTCATTGGCAATCTGCAGCCTGCACACATGGATTTCAGGTTTTTCTCCCTTGGAAATCTTTGGGCCATAGTTTCTTCTCTTGCTACTCCAAAACAGGCAAATGGCATTCTCAATCTATTTGAAGACAAATGGGATGATCTTATTTCAAATATGCCTCTCAAGATATGTTATCCTGCCTTAGAATATGAAGAATGGCGTATTATAACGGGCAGTGACCCAAAGAATACGTAAGTTTATTTTTAGACCGAATATCTTAGTTTTCACGTTTGAACATCTTATTTCTTTGTGTGGCTATCTGCAAGCACCTTGCTCCGACATTTTCTCATTATTTAGACCTTAGCAGCACTGACCTGGTGTTATCTCTATTATTTATTTGATAGCACAAAGCTGACATGATTCCTGATTATTCAGATATTAGTAGCTGTTAAATGCTGTTTTCTAAATTAGAAATTTAGAACTGTTGCTTGGACAATTCCCCATATTTTTTCAAAAACTCTGTGGATAAAATTCTGGGATATAATTCAATTTAGATGCCTTGTTACAATCTAGCAGTGGTAGGATTCTGGTTCCCTGTATATTTATAACTGAGTAGTTTTGTGTTCATGCAGACCTTGGTCATACCATAATGGAGGATCATGGCCTACACTACTTTGGCAGGTATTTTTCTTTATTTGCTTCCAACAACACCGCCTTGTAGATAGCTACAATTCAGAATTTTTCTAAAAATAATCTCCATGTCTGATATGTGAAATTCTGTAATTATTTAGTTATTCGATTTCCAAGAATATAGAAAATGGGTTCCATGTTTCCTGATTTTTAGTTAATTTATTTTCTTTTTTTGTATAGGGATTTAGGTAATTACTCTCTTTAATTCAGGCAGTGAGAATATTCTCCTCCCCCTTTATTATGCAATATGTTTTCTATTTTTAGGGTTAAGCGAATGAGATTGTTCTCTCTTAAATTATGCATGGGTAACAAAGCGGCAGGCATGAATCCTTCATCCGTATTGCAGCTTGGGCGAAATTATACAACAAGGAACAACTAAGAACTACAAGATCACTGACTCTATTTCAAAGTTTTCAAAGTGTTACTTTTTAGAAGATATTCTGTCGAGTTCAATGACCATCACCTCTTGCTTTTGAAGCCACATCAATGTTGTCTGCCTTTGTCTTGGCACATTTCTGCTTCTGTCATTTGTGTGACTTCAGTTAAGTTTGATCTCATTCCTTTGACTTTAAACACTATCTAAGTGGCTTCTATGATTGTGGTGTTTTTTTTATTCTAGAACAGAAGGTATGCTAATGTCCAAGCATAATTGTGGAGAGTACAACTAATAATCCAAGTCCAGTCAATAAGAAACAACTTGATATATTACAAAAGATTTTTTTTATGTGCCCCTACCTCTAATACAATTATAAATTTGTCCTTACCTCATAAAAGTAATTTCTAGAGTATTCTTACTATAAACAACCAAAAAAAAGAGAGGACATGTTCATACCAGAATTAATATAGAAATAATGTGAGAAGAAACACAACACAACCATTAGTAATTTTATAGAAGTTAGAAATTGAAAATATAACAAACTGAAAGCAAAGAGTACTTGGAATACTAGGGATTAGGGTGTAGGTGGTACTTGTTAGGGTTTGGACATCCGGGGTGATGGCAAGGAGGCGGCTAGCAAGTTGGAAGTGGAGGACAGCAAAACAGCTGCTATTCCTGGTGGCGGCGGCAGGTTTGGTGCAGAAAACATCAAGTTTCTTGTTTTCTATGCAGCAAAAGCAGACCAACAATGAAGGGGATGTAGGAGCATTATTGGAAATCATGAAGGAAAGGTATAAGAAATATAAACGCCACCATGGAGAGGAAGATAAAGCCATATCATTATTTAGAACCCTAGGATATAACTCTTAGAGGGAGAAGGAGATGCAGACAGCTGTCCCAAAGCAAATCACAAAAAAAAAATTGAACCTAAAATTCTAGCAAAAACAAATATATATTCCCAGATAACCAGGAGTGAGGCCTCTCTTAAAAAGAGGCGGCATTCCCAAGACTAGAGGTCCGACCTTCAATAACCTTGGACTGAACTGTTTCAGGTAATTAAGAGTCCTTGTGTCAATCTTCTAGGGTTGGGGGAGCTTCAACCTCATGCTTCGAAGCTTTTGTCTTCTCTTAGTATGGAGTTAGGTCCGTCACATTGAAGGTAGCAGAATGTTGTAATCTCTCGGTAAGTCAATTTTGTAAGTATTGTCATTCAACCTATTGACGATTCTGAAAGGTCCATTTTCTCTGATTTTTAGTTTCTCAAAAGATCACATCGGAAAATTTTTTTCTTCAGTACTATCCACACTAGATCTTCCTTCTAAAAAGTAACATTCTTCCTGATTTTCTTAGCTTGCTCCTGGTACTTGTGGTTCTGCTTGTTGATTTCTATCCATCTTCTCATGTAGCCTCTAAATCTACTCTAGCCTCAACATCGACACTAACCTCTGTGGCAGAAATATGTAGTCTGACTCGTGGACCTATTGTAAGCAAATTCAGCTTAGGCTAGAATCAGATCCTAGTGCTTGATATTTTTCCTTATAAAGCATCTCAGAAGATTCCCCAAACTCCTGTTCATCACCTATGTCTGACAATCTGTTTGTGGGTGAACTGTTAAGCTAAATTGAAGCTTAATGCCAAGCTTCTCCCATAATGTTCTCCAAAAGTGGTTAAGGAACTTGACATTCCTATCATAAGTAATGGCCTTGGTATCCCATGCAGTCTCACTATCTCTTTGAAAAACAAGTCTGCTACATATGATTCATTCAATGTCTTGTTTAAAAACATGTTAACAACTACCATCGTTGAATTATTATTTCAAAGTGTCTTAGGAAGGTCCACAACAAAATTCATACTAACACCCAACCATGGAGCCTATGGTATTGATAATGATGTGTAGTTATGTATTCTGCCTTCTGGTTTTTGCCAAGTGACATACCTCTCTACATCCCTCATCAGTCTAGACCAAAGAAATATATCCTCACAAGTGAGAAGGTCTTTTCTCTGCCAAAATGAACGACTAATCCCCCATGACTACTCTCTTATGTGATTGACTCTCTTAATTATAATTTGGGAACAAACCCTATTATAATGGAGCAGGTGACCATCAGATCTGTGGTAGTATCTTGTATGCCTCTTCTGACACTGATCCCAAATCTCCATAAAGCCTCATCTACCTCGTATAGCTCCTTCACCAACTTGAATCCCACAACTCTAGCCTACATGGAGGTGATCAGTAAGTGGTGACGTCTCAAGGCATCTACCTCATTGAAGAGGGCTATGAGATGTCCTCCCTGGTTCAAACACTGCTCCAATCCCCACATTAGAAGCATCACATTCAATCTCAAATAACTAAGTGGAATCTGGTAGTGCCAACAATGGGGTCTGAGATTCACATTCTTATTCTGGATGTTGAAGTTGGACTAAGTCGCCTTTGTCCATTTAAATTTCTCTTCTTTTAAGAACTCTATTAGGAGAGCTATAATGATATTGAAGCTTCTGAGGAATTTCCTATAAATGGGTGTCAGTCCTAAAAATTGCCTCAATTTTGTAAAAGACTGTGTGGGGGGTGTCCAACTCTCAATAGCATCTTTCTTCATAGGGTCCATCTAATGCCTACACTGGATACAATATAATCCAAAAAAACATACCTGTGATGTTATGAAGTAACACTTCTTAAGGTGGACATGTAGCTTCTCTAATCGAGGAACCTCAAAGATCATCCTGACATGCTGCAAATGCTTCTCCTCAGATGAATTGTAGACTAGGATGTTATCAAATTACACAACTACAGATTTTCCAATATAAGCCCTGAACACTTGATTCATCAGCCTCATGAAAGTGCTAGATGTATTTGATAGTCCAAATGGCATGACTTTCCACTAATACAACTCATCTCTAGTTTTGAAGGTAGTTTTTTATCCATCCCTAGGCCTAATCCTAATCTGATGATCCATTGCTCTGGTCAATAGGATAGGGGCCAACTAGGTAAATAATTCTGCCCCACATCTCATGTATTCTTTACTCGGAGGTTTTTGGTCACATGATGAGAGACGCCACGTTCACTTAAATTGTCCAAGCTAAGTACAACATGCTATAAAAATTGTAGATGGATTTCTCTCTATGTTGGTTAGAATAGGTTGCATTATTATTTCAAAGGACCACACACTTAATTTAGTGCTTCCTATTCCAGATCTAAATTTCCATCTCTTTTTTTGTTAGCAAGCTTCTAAATTCAAATTGCAGGACTTCAAATCTAGGAGGATTATTGGTAGTGCTTAAATGTGCTCAGGGCGTTCACTCCTGAATGCCAGTGGATATCTCGAAAGGAAACTAATTAGGAAGATGTGTTGTGTACAAAGTAGTAAAAATTCGATCTCAGTTCCCAATTCTAATAAAGAATTCCCAATTCTAATAAAGAAATTGCAATAATGTGACAATATTGGTTGGGTTATTCAAACATTAAGTACATCCAAAAACTCCACTTATTTAGTGGTTAAAACTTGAAAGATTTCCAATGTGAAACCGATCAATTTTGAAAGAACATTTGTGGTTCTTATCACTCTCAATAATACAAAACATCTCATTCTTTTTCATTTGTTTCATTGATGATCACTTGGCTCTTTGTCATGAAAGAAAAATTGAAAGAAGTTTATATTTTAAAAATTTCAACACTAGATTTATACACAATCCTGTACAAAATGAAGTGTTAAAAAGCCCACAATTCAAAAGAAGATTTTGAAACTTCAAACAAATTGCAGTTCTTGATGGAAATTAGACCTTTTTAAGAAGTTACTCATTATCTTGTGTTTACTACCCACATCCTTGAACGTTTCTGCAGACAGTTCTAACAGTTATATGCTTGATAAAAGAATGCATGCTTGAGTGTTTGACTTTCAGATTTCCTACAAAGTCCTACATTGATACTCCAATACTTTGAATTGTATTCACCATTCCGATATTATTTCAGTGCTGTACTTTTCTGCATGTATATCATCAAAACCAAAATGAAATAGATCCTAAAGCTCACAAATACAACTTTATATGTTTCAGCTAATATTCTCATGTAAAGTTTCTCCCTCAAAATAATAGATTTTGAGTAGTAAAACTGCAACCAAAAAAAAAAAAAAAGACAAATAGACAAATGGAGTTGTAGAACTTTTCTTGTGATTGGAGAATAACAATTTTATCCCTTTTGGCTAGAAGGGTACTATCGGAAGTTCTTCTTACATACATTTCTCTTTCTGATTCCCAACAAAATCAAACTCCTATGGTTCAAACTGAGCATTTTAAAACAAATCTTGATCTATTTAAGCAAATTTTGCTGCCCAAACATGAGCTTAAATCAGTCCCTCAATTCCTAATTCAACTTGACAACATCTTATCTCAACATTGCCTATATGTCATAGTGAGTTACATCCCTATTCTTGTAGAAACAAGATTCAGTAGGGGAGATGGCAATGTATAAGATTTGAACAAGTTCACAAATCCAGTTCGACTCTAGTTCCTAGTAAAAATCTTTATTTTTTCATTGCATTTAGAAAAGTTATAAAATATATAGACATGCACTTTGTAATTTTGTAATTTTGTTTCATATAGTGGATTATCTCCTCATTAT